CAATAGTCATCTTGTAGAGCGTTTTTTACTGCATCGTTTCTTCATAGAGACAAATTTACAACCACTTGTTTCACTATAGAAAAATTTATTATTCAAATCGGGTCAGGACTTCTGGCCCACCCTTTACATACAACATCCATACTACCCATTTTAAATATAAATTAGTATTAGTCTTTTTTTCGATTAATAGTTGTTTCAATATGATCATTTTCTTTAATCATTAACATATCAAGCCAAAGCTAATTTTTGTCCATTTTTTAAGTTAATAGTAAAGTTAATGTTAGGATAAATTATATTTATCAATTCTAACAAATCTAATGCAGTTTAAAGCTCGCAAAAGATATTTTCAGAAATAGCCTTAATTATTATTATTTCCATATTGAATTTTTTTAAAAAATACTCAAATATAAAAAGAATTCAGTAGGAAGACGTCGACACGAATGAGGAAATGTGAAAAATTCACAGATAAAAAAGTGAAGAATGCCTGATTCAGACGTAAAATATTTTAATATTGTTTAATATTTATCACAGACAACAATACTCACAAAAAAGTATTTGTTTCATACACAAAAAATGAGAATAAAATATCTACAAACAAATAGTTTCTATTTTGATTTCAATTTATTTCTGGCAACAGATTTGCGCACAAGTCTTCGCGTTTGACTAATATCTAATAATTCATCTTCATCAAGATGAACACTGGATAACTTTTTGATCAATTTTGTTGGTTTTGGAGGTGAAGCCTAGAAACATTGAAAGTAATAATGATTGTACGACAGAGAGGTGCTTTTTTCGTTTTTTTAACAGATTTCTCTACTAATTGATAGTCACTAGCTAGTTTGATATGTATTAAGTGACTACATTTGGAGAGCCTCTAGTCTTATAATCAAGTTAAAATAAGTAGATTCATGAAAGATGTGTGCATAAAGATACAAAATATTTTGATAAAAAAATGGATCGTCATAGGAACAGGCATTTCCAATATCTACCTCACAAGGTACATTCTATTTTTCATTTTCAACCAAAATAGTAGAACAACATCCATGTCACCAAAATCAAATTTTTTTTTGCATGAATCCAGTGAATAACGCAAAAAAGGGTTACAAAAACGAAATTCTGCAAAATGCTGTATAGTCTTCCATAAAAGAATATTTACAAAATTTTGTATTCGTTGAACTAATACAGAATTTTGTAAGCGCAAAAAAGATTTTGCTTGGTGACATTGGTAGAACTACTTCAGTGACGAGAGAAGATACTTTCTTCCAAGAAACTACTATACAGTGCCGGATTAAAAGTATTTATTAAAGTTTTAGCTCGTAGAGAGTAAGAAAGATTCCAGAGACTCCACCAGCGTTCTACTAATTATAAAAGAATAATTCAAATGAAATGACACTTTATTTATTACCACATCTTTTTTGTCTGTCTCTTCTTCTTCTTCTGAAGTTTCCGTATCACCACCTGTTTCGTCTATGTATTTTTCAGCATCTTCTGGATTATTGAAAGCTAATCTTGTACTACGACGTTTGCCAGCGCTAGATTCGGCTGATGGTTTCTTTTTCTTAACAGATGTTATGGTTTCGGCAACTTTACGTTTTGAACGAGTTGTTGTTGTTGTTGGTGGTGTTGTTGTTGTCACCTTTGGTTCACTTGAAAGAAAAAATGACTAATTAAATTTTGTTTTTGCAACATTGAGCACTATTTCTTATGCCGTCATCAAAAATTTTAGTTAAATAAGCAAAGTAAGGAGAGCTTTCGTACAAGAAAGATTGAAATTAACCTTTTAATTTCAGTTTCTATATGAATCACGTTGATGAATATATAACATTTGTAGTAAACTTGTCTTTGTTCGTAATTAATAATGCGAATGAGAATCTCTCGGATACTTAGAAAAGAACTAAACTCATACTTACTAATCGCTCGAAGCTGTTTTAGCTGTAGCAATTGTTGTGGTAGTAATACATGAAGCTTTTCTAGGTTTTCCACGCCCTTTTGGTATCATTGCTGTAGTCATCGTGCTGGTAGTGAATCCAGTTGATGTCCAATTATCTCGAACTTCTTGCATTGTGGTCATCTTTGATAATTGTTCTGCCTTTGTAGTAATAGACGGTATAGCGTTATTGTCGATTTTTAACCGTTTTGTTTTTGTGCCTTCATTAATAAAGAGATAGAATGTTTTTATATTGATACAAGAGCATCTTCCGCGATAAATCACCAATCAATTAGAAGAATAAATTTTACCTCCATTCTTCAGAAGATCCTGTATACGTCTTGTTAATTCTATCTCGTCTACTGGTCCTCCTCTTGCAGCAGCTTCTTTCATTACTTCTTCATGAACTTGAGCCATTAATTTTTCAAGACTAATTTCTTCTTGTGCAGAGCCAATTATTACCTAAAGAAACAAATCAAAAATTTTGATAGATGAATCATTATGTCTTGAAAAAAAATACTTACTGCTGCTAAGTTTCCAGCATGATCAAGAGGAATATATTGTCCTCCCGTTTTAAATGCGATGGCCATAAAAAAGTCGCGATAACTTGATACTGCTGGTTCACAGCCCACAGAATATAGAGTAATGCTTTTTTCTGCCATAAGAGCCACGGTATTCATTGGATCACAACCAGATGGATCACCAAGAGGCCATGTATCTCCATAAGTAAGGAGTCCGTGTGGAGGTGCATCGGCGATTAATAATGCTATTTTCACTGAATTCTTTCTCCATGATAGTACATTAACTGCTGCGTCGAGAGCTGGAGCTATTGCTTCTGGAAGATCACCTCCTAAAAATAATAACAATAAAAATTATTTAGACGATAGTGTTCAACAACATTTAATATAGCACAAAAATATAAATGAGGCAAGTGAAGATTGTTTCGTTTATTCATGTTCTCACATTACTCTTTTTCTGGTTTACTTTTCTAATGAACTGGTTGTTTTTAGAAGATCTCTAATAAACTAATATATATTATTTTTACCTCCTGCTGCAGAAGCACTATCAATAAAAGACTTTGCTTGGTCTTTATCATCTGTAAAATCGTTCACTTGTATAATAAATGACATTTCTTGTGGTGGATGATCACGATAAAGTATTAAAGCAACATTTAATAAACAACGTTCACTGCGAACAATCTCGTCTATAATATTGATCATATTCTGTGATTAAAATAAAAGAAGTATACTATATTTTGCTATTTTCATTCGAAATGGTTTGTCTACCTTTTGCGCTGATAAAATATATGAGGACATACTGCCAGTGGCATCAATTATAAAAGCTAAGTCTAATTCTTGATTTGATGCGGTTACATTATTAATATCCGTTGAATCTGCCAACGATGATGAAGTAGTAGTTGTCATGTTGACTGATTTCTGCACTGTCTTAGTCTTTGAAAATAAAATAAAGGTTATACATGTAATTCATTAGAAAAAAGGTATGCATGAAAAACATGAATTTGAAACATTAAGCCGCCCCGGTTCAGAAGCCTATCTCAGCACAGGTAGGTCTGATCTGAACCAAACTTTCAGGAAATGTTGACCATGTCAAAGTGTGATAATAAAATTTTTTTTGACACCACTTGCAACCGTTCGTGGGAGGGTACCACAACAAGGACCAAAAATAGGCGTCTACCATGTGCAAGAATTCTCATTCCAGGTAAATGCTAAAGAGCTCCGGCTCTTTTTGTTTTGCAGTAAACACCTTTAGCTAGAAGTCGACAGAGTCCCATTTTTGAATGTCTCGTTTACTGATTTCTGATGCTTAATAGAACTTTAAAGTCCGAAAAATCCGTGGAAGGTTTCATAGAAACTCTCATTTCTATAAAAAATGAAAGCATAATTTAAAAATCAGACT